TGTTCCTGACCCTAGCCTGGCTTCCACACCCTCATCTCTGGTTGCTCCCTGAGCTGAGGGTTTGACAGGGACTCAGTCTCATTTCTGAAGAAGTCCTCCACAGCTGTCCCTTCCCCACCAGTCACACAGGCACACAGCATGGCATTGGAGGCAGACGGGACCCTGAGCGGCTGAGACAGAGCCTAGTGTTCAGTTCTACTGACAACCTAGGAAGCAAAGCACCAAGAAAAGCGAGAGGATGAGCAGCCACTGCTGACACAGTGCCCGGCTACCCAGTGGTAGGGATGAGAGAGTGGCCCCTTGAGGTCAGAGCAGCGAGCTTGACCTTCTCCGGGGTACCTCTCCACTGTCCTTGTTCTTGGGGTCCCTGTGCCTGCTTCCTTTTTCTTCTCAGAGGGAGGGGCAAGCAAACCATGGTTCCATTTCCTAAGCCTCAACAACCTGGGGATTTATGTATCTAAGCAAAGAAACCTCCGTTTTCACAGGGCTGGTTCCGTAGTAATTCTTACATCTGATGTTTTTGCACATTTTGCTGAAATTCTGTGATTGAGGCCGCCGATGCTCTGGAACCTCTTGGTAACAACCCCTTCAACCACAGCCTAAACACTTAGCTAAGTACAAAGGAGACCCTGATGGAAGTCACCTTCATCAAAGAGCAGGTAACCCATGGCCAGGCCGCTTCTGCGCCATGGCTTGAATTTACTGCCACCCTCCCTACTATCGGTCTGGAGTTCTTCCACCTCCTCCTTCCCTCTGAGAATGTGGGACGCAGTTGCAGAGACACAGGGAGCAAAGGAAGAGACTTGGGGAATGGGGGGGGTGGGAGAGGGGGAAAGTGTCGGCAAGGACCTTCTTCACACCCCCCCGATTCCTTGCCTAGGTCTTCCCACTCTGACTTGATTGTTCTGGTGGAAGGAAGTGTCCCAAATTCCCAGGATAAGCACCCATCCCGCCCCAGTGTTTCAAAGCCAAGTAGAACTGACCCTTGTGGGTTTTGAATCTTGCCTGGCCCAGCTCTGTGGGTCCTTCGCGGCTGGACTTTCTTCCCAGCTGCCTGACAGCCTTCCTCGAGCCAAGTAGAACTGACCCTTGTGGGTTTTGAATCTTGCCTGGCCCAGCTCTGTGGGTCCTTTGCGGCTGGACTTTCTTCCCAGCTGCCTGACAGCCTTCCTCGGGGAGCATCTCAGCAAGCCGTGGGCTCTCCCAGCAGTTGGGACACAGGACGAAGCATCAGAAGTTCCAGATTCTTTGGAAGTGCTTCCACACGTGTGGGAGAAGTGAGCTGAAACACGTCACCTGAGATGCATCTTTGCAGTGACCTACCCAGTCTCAGTGACGGGGGGAGAAGGGGCAGGCAGCAGTCACTAGTTAGGATCTGTGCCCACCCCCGAGGCTAGCCCTTGTTGGGATGGAGGTGGAGGTTGTGGTCAGGCATGGATCCATCCCATCCCACTGCCTTGGAGTCCAACGCTGGAGTTCTAAACCATCATCACTGAGGGAAAACTGTTTTCAGGTTGCATACAGCCAATAACCAGCGTCTCCCTGTGATGTAACCTAACCCTGCGGGCTGCTGCAGTGTGGTCAGATAAAAGACGTGTGTACATAAGCAGACATCTCAATTGGTTACGTTTATGCATGAGCACTGCTGTTGTCTCAGCAGCTGCTCAGGCTCTGAAGGAAGAGCGTTTTCCAGCACCTGTCTCTTCGCAGTTTTTTAGCAGCCGCTTCAGGCTGGCCCAGGATTGCTCCTTTGCACTGCTGTCGGACCAGCCCTGTTGGCACGACCTTTATCTTTTCTCATCCGGACATGAGTGAATTCTGTTTGGTGGGTCGTATTTGACAGTTATTATTATTATTACACAATCACTGTTAGGGAGATCCACATTGCCCACTCTTAACCAATTGCAAGCTCAGAAATGCCTATTCTGGTTTGTTATCAAGGTCAGAACTCAGGCTCATAGACAGGAGAGAGAGGTAAAGCACATTTGCAGTCCACCTTTTGAAGACTGTCATATCATCCACTCATTGTGCTGAATTCTTTAAAGTGAATACAGTGAGACTTAAAAGTCATACATTGATTTCTCTTCTGTATTATCCAGATGCTTCAGTATAATAGAGACACATAAAAGACATAAAACAAAGGATGATTTACTTAGACTTTTTATAGCAGAAGAAATAAAGCGGAGCTTATTGTAGTCATATTTAAAGGAGAGACTGTGCAGTGGTGACGGAAGACCCAAAGGCAGCATCTTGGCAAGTGTCGTTCTGAAAGCTCCAGTGTGTCCTCAGGACTTGTGTTGTTTTCCGTGTTGCTGATGAGCTGGTGAGACTGTTTTGGGGTGGGGTGATTTATCCTGAGGATTTGAACATTCGTTTATGTCCTGATTTATCACCTGGATTTGCACCCACTTTATGTTTTTGTGAATTACTAGATCTAATTGCTGCCCACATGTGATCACACACATGCACAGGTGAGAGGCACAGTTTCCCTAATTTTTCATGGACCAATCCCGACTCCCGAGTTTCCAGCAGACTTCAGAAATCTCAGGGTCCAGAGCAGGGCCACCCGTCTCTTATACCCTCTGCTTGGTTGAGCCACAGCCAACCTGGCCAAGCTGGGACCCGTCACCACACAGCTCACTTCTCCTTTGTCTGCTCCACGAGGGGCTCAGTACAGAACAGAACAGGCTTTGCTAAAACCAGGGTGACCAGTCTTCCTGGTTTGCCTGGGACACTCAGTTTCAACACGGATGTCCTGGGTCCCAGGAATCCTCTTAGTCCCAGGAAAATCAGGATGGTTGGTCACCCCGTATACCCCAAAGATTGTGTAGGCTGTGGAGGAGGGCTGACTAATGAATCGCATCTTGCAGGAGCCTGATGATCACACTCATATCATGAGCTAAAAGGAATTTTAAAGATAAGTATATGTGTCACACCCACCTGAGGTTTTGTTAAATGCTTGCACGAGTTCTTTGAGATTTTGAAAGAGCTATTTCTTTTTCTTAACACTGAAACGTTTTTGACACGGCAGGGTGTTAAGTAACCTTCCTGTGGACAGCAAAATTGCTCTTCCCCAAAACGAACACCGGGTGGCAGTGTTGTTCTGTGGCTCTGTAGAATGCCCAGTGGCTTTGGTTGCAATGTTTTTTGGTGGTTATGTCCCAAATGTATTTTCTGGAATGGTGAGGGGATACCTTAGTAATTATGCTGAACATTGATGGCTTTGGTTCATGTAGAAAGCCATGTGTTCATCGTCCACTTGTCCACAATGTAGACAACTCTGCAGTGGCTGCCTGGTGCCTGATTTCCCAAACTGCATTGTAGGGGGTGCATGCTGTGTATATGGTCCTTGAACTGTACTTTCCCTTTTGTATCACTTTTCTTCCCCACCTCCCTTCTCTTGTGCATAGATTCTCTGTTATCATTACTGTCATCCTCTCCAATTATCTAACTCCTTTTGTTCTTTTATTCTTAGCCCTTAATACAAAACTTGTGTCTGAGAACCAGGAATTCCAAATTGAGAAGGGATCCATCAGGTCATCCTAAACAAATTAATGCCCAGATTAGAACTCTGGCTGCACTGCACATAAAGCAAAACAAAAATGAACAGAAGATACTATTTTTAAGAAGAAAATACTCTTTTGCTGTATCTGATCCCAGTTTCTAGTTCCTCCAAGTTACCCCAAAGCCTAGAGAATATGACTTGTCTCTTTGGAGACCTCTCGGGTGTGTTAATACAAGGATGGCTCTGGCTGTTTCATGGTCGCCTGGGTGTTCTGTGCCTCCCCCAAGTCACCCATTAGCTGTTGTAGCTCCACACTTAGAGCCTGAGGGCTGCACTGTGTCTGTAGCTGTGGTCTTTAGCGCACACTCCATTCTCATACTGAGCTGCTCACACAAGGAATTTCTCAATCCTGGCCGTCAAGCAGGCTGGCCTCCCTTCTGCTTGGATTTGTGGGAACTGTGCCTCCTCCATGAGGCCCATCGAGAATGGGATGGGGACTGTAGGGGCTCTGAGACATTCTACCCAAGGGACCCTGCTCACCCTGGATGCCCAGGAGGGCTGGGACACCTGTATTAGTCCTCAGTCTCTTCTCCAGAGGCTGTGGGATACCAGTTAAGTACCCCTCTGCCCTAACATCTTCAGGGGTAATGTTAATTGACATTAGAGAAATTCTTTCTTTCTTTCTTTCTTTCTTTCTTTCTTTCTTTCTTTCTTTCTTTCTTTCTTTCTTTCTTTCTTTCTTTCTTTTTTTTTGAGAAAAAAGTTTGGGATATCAGTTAAACAAGTATCTATCAAGACTTTTTGTTTTATGTTTATACTGAGAGGCCCTATAAAGTGGGAATCTGAGTAATCACTTGGTGAGGTTCAACAAGCAGACAGCCAATTTGAGTAGCGTAGGCTCCAAACAACCATATCCCCCTCCATGGCCAGGACAATGGCCTTAAATGTCCTTTTCACTTTGACTCATCGAATCCTGCCAAGTTCTCAAGCAGGGCAACCGGTAGGTATGTTTTCTTTTCCTTGTAATCCCTTCAGCACCCCTAAAACTTCCTGTTTTCAAAGCCCCTCGCACATTTTTAGTCTGTTAATGTGCCATAAAATAAAACTTAAAAAAAAGAAGTTTCGATGTAGAATAAACAATGTGAAGTGAAGGGAAGCAGGTATCCCCAAAGGTGGTGAGAGACAAGGAGTGTTGACCTTTCCCATGCAGTCCCAGCAATCCACTGGCAACCTTCAAGGAGTTCTAGAGGGAAGAGCTGATACACAAGCTTTCCCAGCCATGTAATTAATGGTGCCCATGCTGAAGACCCTTCGTTTTGCCTCTGCCTGTCTTGAACCTGTCTGATGACTGTGTGGAGAGACTGCTTTTAGCCCTGCCAGTGTGGGACCATCGGATAGCAATCTGATGGATTAAAGTTCCTTTTGTTCCAGCAGCTCATGTTCCTGGTAAAATGTTCCACCTGTAATCAATGCTCACTTGTGATCCTGCCTTTTCAGAATGGACTTTGATGATGAAGATGGTGAAGGTCCCAGTAAATTTTCAAGGTGAGTTTATTTTATTTTCCTTAGGTTTAAAGAAGCCAATAGCCAGCCATCACTCTGTTGGAATATACAGGGATTTAATGTCTTTTGTCACTGAGAAAGCCATTGCGTGTATCCTGACCCTCTTACTAGACCCTCAGTCTGCCCCAGTATTTGGTGCAGTGGCAGCTAGCTCTCAGCGACCCTGTCACATGCCAGCCCAGATGATCGAAAGATAAGTA